AAAAAGCCTAAAAACACACTAAAAATACCCCCAAAACCCAAACCTCTGCTTGGAGAGTAGGGATTCCTCCTTCACGGAGTAATAACACAAATTTAGCTCATCTTTATGCGGGACTGATGCACTGCCTTAGGCCTGGGGAAAAAATTTCTGTTTCCCGACCGACCCTAAAAAACTAACTAGACCGCCGTGAGCTCAGCGCCATCTCTTCGGCGCTGAGAGCGTTTCGGGCCGCCAAGTCAGGCCCCAATTACCGCGCGCCGGGGAGCTTTATGCAGACGGTTTAGGTTTCTTCGTTCACCCAGGCTACTAAAACCCTGCCGACGCAAGCCTTTTTTGTGCGGACCGGGACAAATTGTTCGAGCTTATCGACCTTTTCTAGCTCATGCAAGTTTTCCTTTCAATTTTGTTAAACTGTATTAGTTGAATCACTACAGATCGCGAAAGTCTTAAAAAAACGAAAAAAAAGAGAATCCCTACCTACCAAAGCTGACTGAACCAGGAAACACAACATTATTTTCCTAGGCCTAATGGCCTTCGTAACAGCGTACGCGAAGATATGAAGCGAGGGATACGGACTTACGGACAATTTTGTTGATGTCGACAAGAAAACGCCTACAGTTTACATGTCGTCAGTTCCTATTGTACGTTCTAAGTCTTTCAAGGTGATTCCGCTTCACAAATTATGAAATTTGATGTATTACGTGGGCATGATCAGTATCCTTCACCTCAGGTGTCACCATCGAACAGTTTATATTCAAACATAACATTGTTAAATATAATCAAATATAAATATAATCTGTAGCCTCCGTTACAGCTCAAGTAAGATGGTCGTGAAGTTTAGATAGAGCTGCATATAAGATGAGAAATTAATTCCCTTTTTGATGACATTTTGCGACTTTTCTAGGGTTCTAAGGGGATACGAAAGGAGTGCTTGCTGCCATTTATAGCCAACCTGAATAAAATGTTTTACAGTATATGACGGCTGTTTGTTACTTTCAATAAAAGTAGCAAGGTTCACCTGATATAAGAAAGTTGCCCAGTTTTTAAATGTCTGTACTTATAACCACTTGCTCCTAAAAGATGACTCTAAAAACTTTTTGGAGAAAAAAAAACGTCAACAGTGCGATATTGTAACCTCCGTTACCGGAATTCTGTACATTTCAATGAGAATGGGCCAAGAGCGTATCGTAGAAAAACTGAAGCAGTAATGAAACATGTCTGCCTTTACCACGACTTTTTTTGGCTAAACAAAAGAGTTGCATATATCTAGAGTGAAAAAAAAGCATGCCTCACCTTATGCTTTGCGGGAACAAACCATCACTCGATGGTGGCAACCGAAGGCTATAAAAGGAAATATACAGACGGTTACTTGGGCGTTACCCACAACAAAACATCTCTGGTCATAAAAACATCTCAAAACATACCCACAACATTATTGGTCGTCAGCTCCTGTAATTGCAGGTCCAATTTTCTGTTAGATTATTTTCCAGTCACAAAAGATGACCTCCGGTGTATCAGTCATGCATGTAGTTGACACCCATCTTCTTTTGTAAAACTTCATTGGTATGACATAATGCTTTATATATATATCGTACAATACACTGGATCTAGATTATTGGAAGGGAATAATATGCATTATTCATGACTCAAGGCCCGGTGCATGGCGGCTACAGACAGGTCAAGCCTGGTCGCTCTGTTTTTTTCTATTCCAACATTTATCACAATACATGGCAACGGCACACTCAAGAGGATGAAAATATCAATAATTAACTTAATAGACTAAGATGATAGAGACATGATAACAGGCACAAATGGGTACGGAAACGTATCCCGTCATGACAGCGACGCCCTCACTCAGTCATTATGAGAAAATTCTATCAATCTGCTGAATTAAATTATGGGACTATTCAAGCTTGTAACATAATTGAGAACGAAAGAAACGTAGATCTAGACATAACATATATTTATTATGCAAATAAAGAATTAATTTGCATAGTTACTGAGAAACTGTTGTAATTCAGCAATGAAAACGGCCTGGAATTTCATACAAGGGGAATTTGAAAGTTAAGTGAAGGTGAACATCATTAAATATAACTTATTCAAATAAAGAGCTCATTTGCATAAGTGATGAGGAAGACTTAAGTGTTAAGACTTCTTTTGGTGGAGAAAATGATCAACTGACATAATTCATGCAAATGAGGATCCTATTTGCATCATCAGGGGGAACAATCTATAATTTGTCAGTCATAAAGATTTACATCATTGGTTAAGGTATGAGGTCGAGGAACTCTAGTTTCATTGTTATATTGATGTGTGGATACATGTATTTATTGTGGCAGGGTCTTGGGCACTATGTGCCTTTTGTACTTGTTCAAAACTTACACAGGTAACAGCCACCTCACAGTCCCAAGTATGCATGTACAGCTGTAATGCATTGTGGTCTAACTTAGGTCAGAGTTAAAGCCCTTCTACTGTTGAAGACCAGACATGTTCACCACTTAGCTTCCCATTCTTCCAACCTCCATCGACCATTTTTACACCTTTACACTACCGTTTTCCCAAGCGGTATCCTTTAAAACCTGTTTCCTATTCTGAAATGTTCACAACGACAAATCAGGACACCACAGAAGGTACCAAAACACAGCCCTCATGTAGTGTACTGGCCACTTGGGTACTTCTGATGGGCCTTAACCTCTGACCTTACCCACAATCCCTGGCAGCACTGGAACTGTGGGATGGCTAATAAAAATGTAGTACTTGTATTCACCTTCCATGTGTATGAAATGTCATTAATGACATGTCATTAATGTACCTAACTTTAAATCATATAAGTTCACAAATAATTCATTCATACAATCTTCCAACCTCACAGATTATCTAAATCACACAATTTTCAGCTTGCACGATCAATGATATCAACAAGTATTTAATTTGATTGTGAAATGCTAACTTGCCTTTTGATTTATGTTGATTTTTCCTTCCAAACGGTATTCTTCCATCTGTGTATATTTTCATTTTGGTTTGATTGAGTGTGCTATCTTCCTTTGTATATGAACATTCATTTACATTATACAGCTCTATTTATATATCGTTCGTAATAATATTGAGTCATTTCTTGTTTGTGTTGTACCTTTAGAAACTATAAATGTCGTCTGTACTAGAGCTGTATTATCAGTACAAAAAAAATTAGTTTAACATCTTGGATTGACCACAGTACATACATAATGTTATATTGACAAGCATCAGCCTTTCACTACGGAAAATACCATGTGGTTGTAGTGAAACCCTTGCCTTTTATTGATATCATGTTCAACATTTCTTATTGTTTGATGAGGGTCATTCTGCAGTATGGAATACAGCTATCTCATTAAAATATTGTACAATGACATGCATATTCATGTATATTCTCTGGATGATATCGTCAGTTTTATTAGAGCAGGGACATAAGCAAACATATTCCTGTTTTTTTTATGTAGAAGATTGTGTAACATTCTACCCAAATAAAATATCATTGACTAGTTATAATAATAATTAGTTCCCTTAATTTAGTTGGCTATGTGTTTACCATACGTTCTCTTCGCATCTTTTTGTATATTTGATGCTTTCTTACTTGGACGCTACGATCCTTGCTTTATTTTAACTGGTTATGGGTGGTTATAATGTTTTAAAGATTCTTTCCCACTAGGAAACTACACGGCCAGATTTTCTAGATGCTGATAGCGTTTGGAATGAGTTTTGGATCCAAGTAGTCGTAAGGCTGAAAGCGCTGCGTTTGGTTTTCACTTTCGATTATGTTCGCAACAGCATCAAGATCCTCCTTGAACCTGTAAAAGGCATTGAAAAACACCATTTTTGAACAAACTCTAAAGGTTTATTCAACAGCTTGGGAATCAAAATACAATGATGTAATGCAAAACCGATCGGAATGTTTTGATTATACCTGCGGGAGACATTGTTAGGTACAGGTCAATGAAACATCGGGAAACTGGCGGATAATATTTTGATTCATTTACTTCTTAGAGGATCGTCTGTTAACGGCAATGATCAAATCCTACTTTACGTCCCAATTTTTGACGGATGCTTTCATGATAGCTTATTTCTCAATATCGCCACTTTAATTATAATGACCAGACATTTCCAGGGCGACAAAACTTTTGTGCATTTCATAGTTACAAGTATTTTATTTGCATCATTTATTTGATGATTTGCTTTACGTAGTTACCTTTTGTACAGTGACTTGAGTGTGTTGCCATCGTAAATGTTGGAACAACAAAAATGAAACAGAAAACATTGGGTACCTTTGAACAGCCTGCAGCACTTTGGGACCCTGCAGGTATGACACCAAGAAGTCTCCCAGACGCATTGTTGCCCGCTCACTGAGGACCTCTGCCAAAAGGCTCATCTTAAAAGTGTTTATCCTCCCGGGAAGCGCATTTAGGATGTCCTGTTCTGTTAGAGCATCCTGTGGAAAGGCCCATTCATTAACTTTCAAATTTAGATACACCTTTCTACTGCGTGTAAAAATGAGTTGTGGTTAATTGTAATCCTACCAACTAATGTCAGACTGATACCTGTTGTCTGTTACCATAGAGTGGGAGTCTGTGATGACTGGTTTCCATTAAAGTGACAGCGAATCTTGAGCTCCTATTGAACTGTGTTTTATAGTGATAAAGAACCCAATGCTGCTATTATTGGTACTTCTCATTACAGTCTCCTGGCCATACAGTTCCACCATCTTCCCTGGCGAGAGATATTGTGTAACACAGATTATATAATTGATATATTATTGGATTACAGTGTACCTTAGTTGCGGGCGGGTTCCCCTCCAACATGAGCGGCATATTGGGTACGAAGCCGTACTGGTCCCACTGCATGAAGTTGACGGCCGCGTGCTGCACGCTACTGGTGAAGATGACGCACGTCACCGTCTGGATCAGCTGATCCAGGGTCGAGAAATGTCCATTCCCAGGAACTCCCTGTGTGTTATCAGAATAGAATCACTATCAATATGGAAATTGATGTAGCTTTACTCTTCAATGACCGTAACGTATTGCCGATTCTATAATTCGCAATCATATGAGAAATGTGACTTGCATATTTTATTGACCGTTAGGCTGAATTACCTTAACAGTGATATTTCCATCGGATGAAGAAGCGAGAGCCCGTGCCCAGGCCTGGATCTCCTTGTCATCCCTCAGCTTGGCAGAATTATCTAAGAAAAAAAACGACACATATTTCAATGATCTTATTTATGTTTCCATCCGTAGGTTCTTGGGTTGCTAGCCAATAGTTGGAAATGCAACAACGACAGACATACTATAGCATAAACATGACGTCATATCTGCGTACTTACTGCCATCATCGTAGAAAATCTTCACGACGCTGGTGACGTATTTGTGGATCACGTGATACGAACGTAAAGCATCGTCACGGTAGTAGTACTTCGGCAGTGCTTTCTCATCGTCAACCTGAAGGTTTACAAAACCATATATAAATCTTCATATTCATATATGAATAGAAAGGGCTGTGCTTATTAAGTAAATCTGTTGACTTAGATATGTTAATACACTAACTAGAACTAGAAAGTTAACTAGAAAGCTAACATTTGCAAAGCAAATTCATAATGACACCTTTACATATGGTCTGCTCTGGCTGTTCATTCTAACTCAAACACATTCATATACAGTACTAGTATTTGGTGACAAGAATCCCTCCTGCTATAAAACTGCTACATGCCATGTAACCCAACACTAGTTAACATGTTGACAGACGTCTGGTTCAGGTCATTGACCTTATTTGTTTGGAGAAGAAGAGGAAGATGAAACATTGTAAAAACAACATGTTTTCTTTTGATAAACATAATAATACGAATAACATGAAGCTTTTAGTTGCAGATAATTTCAACAATCTTTCAAAACAATTTTAACAATTGTTAAAACCTGCTCCTCTCACCCCTCGATTCTTCAGATCCTCCGGAAGTGTTCCATCCACATCAAGCTGCCACGTCTTCAGTCTGTACCAATCATAGATTTAACAGAAAGGTTAAGTTTGACATTTCATGATATGTATAAAAAAAACAATTATCAAACAACCTACCAAGTAAAACCAATATTCCAAACACTAAAAACTTTTTCTATCGCCTATTTCAATGGCCCAGACGATTCATCCGCCATCCATTACTTACTTTTCTTTGATGAGAGCGAAGGCCCCCTCCACGCCAATCTGCGATACCAGATCCAGACCACTTCCTTTTTTGATCAGTGACTTCAGTGCAAGACTATGCAACAATAAAAGTACGTATACGAGTCAGCTCCGGTATCTTTGATTGCAACATATAGATTGTTTCTCAAAATACGCTTCAGTGCAAAAAAAACTACGTTGACATACCGATGTCTTGAATGCATTGTTGGCTACATGTGAATCGTTTTGTATTCATATCGACCCATAAGATGACACCACTGTGTTAATCTGGCTTCTGACCATCTATGCATGATTGGTGTGTTTCGGATTTGATTGACTATAATCAGTCTAGCAGTGTATCTCACTCATTGATAGCAAAAAGGTAGATGAAGTGCGGCTGCATCAGACGGAGAATCGGGTGGGCCGGCGCAAGGTTCTGAAAGGCCGACAGTGCTAGTGCCTCAATCAAGAGATGGGTAAATCCTGGGAACACAAGGGAACATGTTACATTTTAATTGCAAAAGTTAAAAAATATGAAAATTATGAAATACAACAGGGAGGATGAACCGACGTGATGATGACATAAGATTTGTCCACCATACTGGGTGGTTAGACTTGTTATTATGTAGAATTTGTAGTTGTCACATAAAATGCATAGGTTTAGGTATCTACTACTATTCACGGAAATCTATTTTCCTGGTTCAACCAACTAAAAAGTGATAAATTTGTGAACATTGTATCGCGTTGTCTTTGCTTTGTATCACAAAAGACGAATTTTAAGATGTGAAATTGATCTGACCAAGGTGAGCCACCGCCTCGTGGTAGTTCCCATCTGCGCAGTTGAACCACATCTTTGCCATCAGCCAAGTGTAAGGCGGGTCGCTCGGCAGGAATACCTGGAGTTAGACGGCATTCATGTATACACGGTAAACGTCTTTAGTTTAGTCATACTCAGGATTCCGAGACAAAAACATGTACTAAGAGTCCCCGTGGAAAAAAATTGCATCCTAAAAGGTCTCTGTGTCTGTGTCCTAAAACGACGAAGCTCCTCCCCAAAGTACACATTGGGATAAAACTGCAGGTTATTCTGGATATCGGTGCTGCTCACCAGTTTGGGATACATGCCGATATCCAAAACGGGTAGTTTGTATATAATCTCAATGACACTTTGAGCTCGTCTAGAATAAAGAACCACCCAGGATGTAACAAGGACAACAACAAAAAACTTACGGGGTTCTGTTTTTGGTCGTCAGGATACAACTGGATTGCGACAGGAACCAGGTCACCATTGCCGTTAACAAAGAACAGTCCATAAGGAGCACACATCTGTAGGAGGAGTTGTAGGAGGAACTTGTTGAACGTTCGGATATCAGCGAATTTCATAGATAAAAAGGAATCAAGTTTTTTTACAAATCATACCATTCACTTTATATCGTGCATCATGTTCTAATGCTGAAACAAGGATGACACGAGTATGATTTTGGTCCCACAACGGTCGCTCAGCGATCGCCGTCTGACAGTGAAAAAGGGCACTGAACAACTTACTGAGCCTTTCTTTTTAGTTGAGTCTGAAGCACACTGTCTCAAACATATAAAACAAGAACTCACCGGTCTGCCGATCGCAAATGCTGCTGCCTTCATGATGGTGTGATCCACGATGTACAGACGCTTCTTTCGCATGGCTGCTTTCAGGTTCAGGCCTTGTAGGAAAGGTTCGACCATCTTGGACGTTACGCCAAAACTGGGGAACAAGAGGTTGAGGAGACTGAAAAGTAACTACCTGCAGTCGTCTATCACCAGGGCCCTTTGCAACAACAGACCAACAGAACAGCGTACTTTTTAAGGCAGTTTGGGCAACATTTTTCAAACGTTACTGGTACTGCATCTCCGAATGCAAATTGTCATCACCGACATGGCAGTTGGCATCTGTCCCTTTTTATCCATATGGAAAGAGAATACTCACGCCCTTGGTATCTCCTTGCACAGACGAATCGATGTTGGGTTGACTCCAGTGAGACGCTGCGCCCCAAAATGATCGTCGGTTCTCCAGTTGGCTTTTCCCTTGAGTTAAAAAAACATTTATCATAAGTCGTCAAAATATTCAGATAAAAGTGTACACTTCGAACGGATGGTTCAGGACAGTATGTAGTTCATCGATGTGATAAATGGGAGGCTCATATAACCGTTTCGCGAGACTGCATGAAGATATCCTCACTTTGGGAATTTTGCCTGCTTGGAACACCTCGTCGATACCATCGAAAGTCCTCCACCGTCCAGCCTCAATGATGATCGGCAAATCCGTCAAGCCGAGAGTGATCCCCGTCTCAACCATAGCCGACTGTGATTATGTCCACAAAAGCAAATGATCAACAAAAATCAAACCAGATAAAGCATTAGACTTGAGTGATTATGAGTTGCTTTGCTCTTCATCATACGTTCGTTTTTTTATGTGTTACTTTTTGTGTGTTCGGAAAACACTTCGTGATAAACGTGATTATTATGTAGTTGACGTATACATCTCACTAAATTATGATCTCACTAGTCATCTCACTAAACTATGATAAATTAATCTATACATCTACTATTTTGGATACAAATGTATGAATAAAGACGTTTACCGTTTGTCTGGTTGAAAACTCGTCCTCTGGTGGTAGTTTTCTCAACTAAATGCGTGAAACATGGTGAAATGGTGAAAGATAACTCAATAACATCAATGCTAAGTGCACAGTGGTTCTTATATGTCACATACCCTACCCAACTGATGCATCCAATAACTAGAGTTCCACGGTCTCATACCTTCGCCAAATGATGTTAACCCTTCCGGTTGACGAATTATACAATTTTAATAATTGATTTCGCAAACCGGTTGATAGTCTCTCAGCAGACGCTCTATTGTGTCAACTTGAACTGGATGCATCCGGCGCTAAATGCTGCGGCTTCGGGAGTGCGCAAGACGCTAGAGGGGTGTGGTTTTGCCTACGTATGGAATTCGCCGATGTCGTATGTCTTAAATTCTTCACAAATTCCATCCCTTGATCAACGTTTAAAGGACATGTATTTCCAAACTTTTACAGCAGAAATTCGTAACAACAACAAATTACGAACATACAGATTACTAAAAAAATACTTACCAGGAGGAAAAATATCTTAGAATTACAAACATTCGACACAGAACAGCCATCACAAAACTCCGGATAAGTTCACACAAACTCCGCATAGAAAAGGGTAGCCGTGGACGACTCTGGTACACCTTTTTGCATGATAATGCCGGTGTACCCGGCATTATCATGCAAAAAGGTGTACCAGAGTCGTCCACGGCTAAGAAAAGGGAAGACACAACCACATTCCCCTACAGCAAAGGATCTGCCAATTTTGTAATCTAGATTATATTGAAGATGAATGCCATTTTGTAGTTGACTGCACATTATATAGAAATAGATAAGTTCCCAAGCTTTAGACATTTAGATAGAATAGAAAAATTTGAATTCCTCATGAAACTTGACAAACCATGTATCATTAGCTCAATATGTCCGTACATCTTTAACTGCGTCAAGAAGCGAGAAGAAGCTGAACCTGTAAATAGTAGATCACATGAGTTTATATAGTATGTAAGTGTCATTCCTATTTTCTTTTTCCCTGTTTTACCCATGGCCTGTACTTAGCTCGTTAGAGCACAAGCGTACAATAAAGGTCTTTCATTCATTCACTAACCAAAATTCATGACCCTAGCATATCTAGATCGCGAGATATCAAAACCGGACGTTCTGCTGCAGTACCAACAAAAGCCGCCAGGGGGCCCAAAATCTAATCATTTCTAGGTCTCATCAAGACCTACCCACATACAAAGTTTCATGACAATCCATCTTAAGCTCCTTGAGTTATGCTGTTCACAGACAGACAGACAGACAGACAAACGCTACTGAAAACATAACCTTCTTGGCGAAGGTAATTATGGCGTATGTTGGGTTCCATCAAATGACTTTATTTTACTCGTACAAAGTGGTGAGGAAATTTAGTAAAATCCGGCAGACACGTCCTCCGGCAACCCCTAGAAACTCAATCACCAAATGTGAGCAAATTCGTCAGTCTTATCGGTCAAATCGCTAATTTTGATTGGAGGTTTATAAAATCCTGCCATAGGCAGCAGTCCCAGAGAAGGCGTGAATGATGTGTAACGTCTGATTATACTGAACTCCCGTTCCATTATTGGCCAAATGATGCCCGGGTCGCTAATTTAGATTGACAGTTTGTAAAATCGTACCATTGGCAGCAGGCCCGGAGAAGGCGTGAATGACGCGTAACGTTTCTTCATCTCCTGCAGCTCCCTCTCACGGTTCTCTGCGTGTCGGTCGTACTGGGGCAGTACTGCACCGCCAGGGGGCACCCACACCCGTTCACCTGCAACCAAGGAAACAGAGACTTCATAGAATGCAGTATTACTCATACGGTTGCATTACTCCTCTATTATATACCACTTCATACATTCCTGGCGACCACATCCTTAAAACCAGGGCACGAAGGGTCAAACCCCTGTCGATCAAGTGAAACCTCGCCCAGGCTAACCATAGCCGACCCTCGGGATCGAACCACTGCCCTCAGATCCATGAAAGTTGATCCACTGACCTGCTTTAATCCATCGGTCGACAGGGAACTCATCGGTTGGGCCGTTCTGGTCCGGCTGTAGTTTTACAGAGACGGACTGACAGAACCAGTTGTCATGTATTATGGCGGCCGGGTCTCGCCACACCTCCAGATCACGGATGGGCGGGCAGACTGCAATGTTATCCACATTGAACGGCCTACAGTAAGGTAAAGCAGTCATGCACAACTGAGGTGAAGCAGGGTAACTGAGGTAATGCAATGTGGCTCAAGTGTTCACACAGGGTTACCCCGATAAGTGTGATTGGGTCTTTTACTAGAGGTTTGATATATATATATCTATATGATTCATGGAAATGAGGATCCTATTTGCATAATCAGGAGGAATAATCTATAATTTGTCTGTCATAAAGATTAACATCATTTGCCGAAGCTATGAGATCGTAGAACTCTAGTTCAGCCTAACTATTATGCCATGAGCAATGTACACATGTAGTTACGGAAATGTCGGTTGAAAATACAATTATGCATTATGCCAATTTTAAAGGTTCACGTTGACCATTTTTTCTACAGCACAAACCTCTAGGATGATATGCAACAATGTACACATTTCCCATTATTAAAAATGACAATATAACACTTACTGCCTTTCGAAATCTTCCCAAAGCAAGTGGAGGGGGATATCACGTGATCTGTCTCCCTTGCTGTCAATCAGGGCAATGAAGATGTTTTCGTCCGTCCCCCCGCCCTGGTAGTCACCCGTCTTCACTGTCACAAGCGCCGAGGTCTGTGAGTATGAAAGACCAAAGGTACAAGTTCAACAAGGCTTCATCGGGTCAGTTTTCACCGGTCAAAACCCATTTTTCACCGTTCAAAAGCTATTTTTCACCGTTCAAACTCAATTTTTCACCGTTCAAAACCCAATTTAGAATGGTGTGGTTGAAAATCGTGCCTTGGTGCGATTGGAACACTGTTGGAAATGTGTTCCCTCCACAGCGTCCGATATAATATGTGCGCTAAACAAACTAAACTCATTTTGTGAGAAATGGAACATCCAAGTAAACCTGAAGAAAACCAAAGTGATGATTTTCAACAAAACAGGAAGAACATTCAAGAACACCAAATTTTCCTTCGGCGCAGAAAATATACAAATCACAAGCTCATATACCTACCTAGGTCTAATTATGTCCTCGTCCGGCAGTTATTCTTTAGCCAAAAAACAATTATCTTTAAAAGCTCGTAAAGCAGTATTTAGTCTTAAACCCCTCATCCGCACCTCTTTGTCCCCCAAGGCCTTACTCAAACTCTTTGATGCGTGCATCAAATCTATAATGTTATACGCCTGTGAGATCTGGGTTAAAGATTACTTAAATGACAATTGTCCTGTAGAGATAACTCAGAACCGCTTCTGTAAAAATATCCTTGCACAGCACGAAAACAGATATTTAAGCAAACTTTCCGCAATATGTAAAGAGGTATTAAAGGTGGAAAAATATTTAAGTTGACTTTACGCTTCGTAAAGGTTGCTGAAAGGTTAATTCCGCCTTTCCGTCACCTTTCAGTGGGCTTAAATACGACGTAAATATATACAGACATTTAAGCAAACTTTCCGCAATACGTATATAAGTATTAAAGGTAGGAAAATATTTCAGTTGACTTTATGACTTCGTAAAGGCCTCTGAAAGACAAAGTCCGCCTTTCCGCCACCTTTCAGCGCGCTTAAATACGACGTAAATATATAAAGACATTTAAGCAAACTTTCCGCATATGTAAAGAAGTATTAAAGGTGGGAAATATTTCAGTTGACTTTACGACTTCGTAAAGGCCTCTGAAAGGCAAATGTTCCGTTTCGTAGCTTGTTTTTTTTAACGTCTAACCATGTTCCAAATGGCAAATAGATAAACGAGTTTATCGCCCAGCCGGCTTCGCACTTTCATTTTGCTTTATTTGTGAAGCATGACAAAACTTACATTGTCTTTATGTCCTTCGCGTGAACTTACAAAGTATCCATATGCAGACACCCAATGAGGAACGTGTCATGTGATAGGGCGGTACCCAATGGGATACAACACAGCGAGGTTCAAATCTACCGGACTCAACTCATTTTTATGGCGTCTATTTCGAAGACACGTCGACCCTCCTTCTAATTGAGACATTATGGCTGAAGTTGAGAATCTCATGGAGCGAGGAAAGGCAAGAAAAAATTTTCGACTTCTTTAGAATATGTTGAAATTGGTGGAGGCCCAGTCGCAAAGAATCCAGGGGCTTCTAAGCAGCGGCAACGACAACACGACTCTCGGCCCGGCTCGGTCTGTCTGACAACAGCCAGGAGGACGGAGGAGAAATCTTTCACAAAACGCCGTATACGAGGGAGCTGATCAAATATATGTTTGGAGATACAAGTAGTCAATTCCTTGTATTGGTGAGCTTAGTTTAGGAATGTATTATTTTGAACCGTTTTCATTATACGTAATCTGCAGCTGGGGAGGGATACGTAATAATGTGACAATATAGTATGAGCTAACATCTTGTTCTAAAACATTTTATTAGGAATCATTGTATTTTGTATGTTTTACTCAATAAATTGTTCTCAGATCATATCTGTTTCTGTCATCATATTCACATATACCGACGTAAGTTAAGGTTATGCACAGCCGATTCGAATGTTCGGAAAGGCAACTTAAAGCTTAAAATTGTCCGTAAACAGTGATTAAAGGGATAGTTTACAAAGCCTTTACGGACATAAAAGGTGCGTAAAGGCACTGTTAAAGTGCAAATACGTATCTTTCCAGTACTACGGAAAGGGCACGTAAAGACAATGTTTACGAGGGACTTAAAGGCAGCTGAAAGACCTCTTAAATTTTAAGTAAACGCATGCTTTCCGACCAAAATAGGTCCGTAAACGATACTTAAGGGAATAATTTACAGAGCCTTTACGGACATAAAAGGTGCGTAAAGGCACCGCTAAAGTAGTGCAAATACGTATCTTTCCAGTAGTACGGAAAGGGCACGTAAATACAATGTTTACGTACACGGAAAGGTGCCGGAAAGGTGCGTAAAGATGGAAATTACGCCGCCTTTAAGCACGATTTAAGCATGCTTAAATATGGTTTTTCGTGCCGTGTTGGTGTGCACAGGAATTCTAGTAACCTAGCAAGTGTCCTCACTATGAGACCGAAAGAAACAGATTATTTCAGACAGTTACAACAATTTCTCCATCCTTTCGTCATTTAGAAGATCACCAAAAAACTGCACTTCTACTAAGATCACAAAACCCACTAATTATGCAGAATGTGGGACTATTCATTATCCACTGCCTTCAAAGAAGAAGTCGAACCCCATAATAGCTAGCGTAGTAGTAGAAGTAGAATATTTTCCAGACAGTTGTTACCTGTCTCCTGTTACTGTATTGCAATGTATTTTATTCTTGATTGTAAAAGCAATTAGCCTTCGGGCATGATTTTGCGAATAAAGTTTCAATATAAAACTAGAGGTCGGAGATCTCATGTCTTCGTCAGAGGTACATTGTTCCAGAGAAATGAACATGTGTATCCCTTACGTTTTAATAACCAATGTGATCTAGAGTAAAAGAATCTCTGTACTCCCTTTTTTATGCTCTCGTACGGACACCCTGAAAGGGTTTGCCAGATTTTACAGACGCACAGGTCTCCAGTGGACGTCATCCATTGCAATTACTTCGTGTGGCTGTATGAAATAACCTGACGCATGTCCAACCTTTTCTCCTCCAGCTGAAGTTATAATGAACAATCCTTCATTTTTAAACGTTATTTGATCCCATCCCATTATGGGGTTCCCCATGCAGCTGTCAGCTGTCTCCAAGCAGAGGTTGGTCATTATTTTTAAACACAAAAGGTGCGCTGCAGTGACGTAGGGACCCCCCACGAAACCCATTTACAAACTTAAAATTGGTCTCAACAATAGTAACCTGCCCACCAAAAATGATAAATATCAATTTACATATACAAAAGTTATTTTGCTCACAAGCCACAAACACAAAAGGTGCACTAACATGCCGTACGAACCCCCCACAAAGCCCAGAATTTGCACTCAACATTGGCAACAACGGTAATCTTGGACGTCGAATTATGCCTTCCGGGGTTATTACACTAAATCCGCAGTCACCCACAATGCGTCTTTCTGAATAAGACAACAAGTACTAGTTTACACTAGTGTTCCCTGGCCGACCTGATCCCCAAATAAGTATACGAAAGCGCCTATACTTTGCAAGGGCGCATCGGGCGCCAGGCGCCGAAGCGCGAGCAATAAAATACACCCTCGAGAAATTTGTATTTTTTAAACCTTCCATAACGCATTATCCTACATATTGCGACGCAAAGTAACGCCGACCACTTGACGTTTCACTGTTAGTACGCAAGGCATACTACTGGAAAACGCAAATATTGTAAGAAAAGGGGAAAACACATACCCTATAGTTGAGGTCTCCACACCGAGAAACCCAAGGAAACTCCACCATTAAAGAAATACTGTCGAGACCGGTATTTCTAGCTCATCGATAGCACACACAACAAGTGTTGTGTGTGCTATATAAGTTATATATAGCACAAATATCCTATGCAAACGAGGCTTACTGCCTGTAACCAACCAATAGAAGAAAAAGGGGACAAGAAAACTAGAATACCAAATAGTATACAAATAACAT